AGACCTTAGGCCAACCACCTACTGTCTCCGAAACCTTCAAATTGTTACAGAAACCTATAGTGGAAGATTACGAACTGATTTTATGGCAACGACTTCCGACTAGCGCTAAACAACGGACAAGAATTGGAACATGGAATGTACTGACGCTAGCCCAACAGGATAAACTGGCACAACTCGCCAGTGAGGCCCGCCGTATAAAGCTAGAAATCCTGGGACTTGGTGAAGTCCGCTGGCCGAGCTTTGGAGAACACAAGCTGCCTTCCGGACAGGTACTTTTATATTCTGGTATGCGAGGTGAAAACGCTCAGCGACATCGTGGAGTTGGCTTTCTGCTTAGCGCCCAAGCACAGGCTGCGCTCATCAAGTGGGAATCTATCAATGAGAGAATAATCGTTGCCAGATTCAGAACACGGGTCCGAAACCTTACCATAATCCAATGTTATGCGCCAACCGTTGTTGCCGAATTGCAGGACAAAGAGTCAACTGAATGCTGTCGTGGATAAGACTCCAAGAGGTGATATCAAGATCTACACAGGCGACTTCAATGCGAAGATCGGCTCCGACAACTCGGACTATGAGCGCATTATGGGACGCCATGGTCTCGCGAGCTGCTTGCAGAGTTTTGTGGCAACAACGACATGGTGATCGGGGGTTCGCTCTTCCCCCATCGCCCAGTGCATAAAGTCACATGGGTCTCCCGTGATGGATATATGTACAGAGAACCAAATCGACCACATCTGCATCAGCCGAAAGTGGAGACGGAGCCTTCTTGATGTTCGGAATAAACGCAGCGCTGACATCGCGTCTGACCATCATCTCCTGGTCGGTGAGATCCGCCTACGCATTGCGCGGGTTCAACGGCGGAAGGAGAGACTTGGGCGGCGATTCAATACACGCCGACTGGAAGACCCAGCAGTGAAGAGATCGTTCGTTGAAGAACTCGAGGCTCGCGCAGCTAATATTCCGGAAGGTGGCAGCGTAGAAGAACAGTGGACGAGAATGCCTTTATTGAAACAAGCGAGAACAACCTGGGTGAGCTGCGCACTCAGAGGAAGGAGTGGATCACCGATGAAACCTGGAAGAAGGTCGAGGAGTGGAGAGAAGCAAAAGCCGCGATAGAGCGAACAAGGACCCGAGGAGCCAAGAACGAGGCCCGTCAGCGGTATTCGGCTCTAGAGAGGGAAGTTGAGCGTTCCTGTATACGGGACAAGCACATAAAGCAACGCCTGAGCGGGGCAAGGATGAACCCAAGGATGCCTGTGAAAGACGCGACTGGACAGTTGCTCGTCGACCCCACTGACCAGTTGAAACGTTGGTTTGGGCACTTCGAACAACTTCTCGAAGTTTCAACGGTCAACCAACCATCAACATCTCGGCATGATCCGCCAAGGACTGAAGCGTCTTCATTGCAGGAGATAGAAGCAGCCATCCGAAGCATGAAGTCCAACAAAGCCCCGGGGGGTCGATCGCATATCAGCAGAGATGCTCAAAGCTGACCCCATGCTATCCTCACAAATGTTGCATCAACTATTCGTCAACATCTGGGACACCGTGACTTTTCCGGCCGACTGGATGCAGGGCGTCTTGTTAAAAGTCCCCAAGAAGGGGGATGAAACTGTATGCGACAACTGGCGAGGCATCATGTTACTGTGTATTGTTCTCAAAGTTCTGTGTAAAGTTATCCTCAATCGGATACAGGAGAAGATCGACGCGACTCTCCGACGACAGCAGGCAGGATTCCGTGCTAGAAGATCCTGTGTGGACCATATTGTCACGCTCCGCATCATCTTGAAGCAGGTTAATGAATTCCAAGAGTCCCTGTACTTGGTATTAATTGACTACGAAAAAGCTTTTGACCGACTAAACCACGAAAACTTGTGGGGCGCTCTGAGACGCAAGGGAGTCCCTGATAAGATCGTCAATCTCATCGAAGCGCAGTACGAGGCTTTCTCATGCAGAGTGTTGCACAACGGAGCTTTGTCTGACCCGGTTCGGGTAATCGCGGGTGTGAGGCAAGAATGTATATTATCACCGCTACTGTTCCTCATCGTAATCGACGAGATCATGGTTGGAGCCGTTGACCTCTACCGAACCGTGGGTTGCTGTGGCAGCCTATTACTATGGAGCATCTCAACGACTTCGATTTGGCTGATTATGTTGCGTTATTAGCACAACGGCGCTCTGACATGCAGAGTAAGCTCGACGACCTTGTGCAACGCTCCTCTGAAGCAGGTCTAACCATCAACGTCAACAAGACCAAATCGTTGGATGTCAACACGGAAAACCGTTCCAATTTCTCGGTAGCTGGGCAGGCAGTGGAGAAAGTCGAAAGCTTCCAATATCTTGGCAGCCAGATAGCGTCGGACGGCGGCACCAAGAGCGACATAGATGCACGGATTAACAAGACGAGTATGGAGAGCGAATCAGATCAGTCGACGCACCAAAATACGAATTTTTAACTCGAACGTGAAGTCTGTGCTGTTAAACGCCAGTGAAACATGGTGTGTATCAGCGGAGAACACTCTGAAGCTGCAGATGTTTATCAACCGATGCCTGCGGTACATAATTCGTGCCTGGTGGCCCCACAATTGGATCTCAAATTCCGAGCTTCATCGTTTGTGCCATCAGAAGTCGATAGAGACAGAAATTAGTGGTGAACGGAAGTGGAGGTGGGTCGGCCACACACTACGACGGAGCGGAAACTAAATCTGCAAGCAAGCACTGGACTGGAATCCAGCAGGGCATCGCAGCAGAGGCAGACCCAGAGACTCGTGGCGGCGGAGCCTAAACAGTGAAATTAAGAACGTTGACCGAATTTTGACTTGGGAACAGGGCAAGGCCAAAGCTAGTAATCGCCTAGGATGGAAATCTTTCACAAAGGCCCTTTGCACCCATGGAGGTGCACAGGATCGTTAAGTAAGTAAGTAAGTAGTTAAAACAGCATTGCTGCTAATCCGACACTAAACTCAGTTCCCAAATACAATATAGCGATTTGTAATTCGAAATATTTTAACAGAAATGATGAATTTACTGAATTATTCATAAAAAAAAACTAAAACTAAAATGCTGAAAAGCAAAAAAAAACTATGTAAACAAATAAATTACTGTTAAATACAGCAATACTAGTACTGACTAACACGGTTATTTTTGACAGTTCAGAGAGAGATTCTGCGATTTACGGAGTTTTCAGCAAAAGTAAAAACTGCTGGCTTGATTACTGAAAACTCAGTAGTTTAAAAACCCAGCAAAATTTTACCGACTTCGCTAATCTAAACTCTGTGTGTAGGATATCGCACCCATTCAACGCACATGGGCCGGGACCAACGGCTTTACCTCACGCACCAGACCAGTGACCAGAGATTTGTATGCCTCAGAAAAATCCCACCGACCTCGGCTGGGATTGAACCCAGACCAATTGGGATGAGAAAGCAGTCACTCTTACCACTACACCATTGGCGCAGACTACTATAGTATGCACCTGGGACGGGACTTGACAATCGGGTAGCGATTTCGAGCCAATTTGCTGTCAAATCCGAGCCAGTTTCTGATTGGTCGATTTGACAGTAGCAATCGTGGAATAAAACTTCAAGGGATAGTCCTATGGGGTTGTACGCAATGGTGACGTAGGACTACGTGGTCTTGTGTAAAAAATCTTATTTGTTAACTGCAGCAGGAGCTTGTGTTTTGTATAGGAATAGGAATTTGAGCGGGGTTCTCTCTGTTTATACTCTTTAGCATGACGCGCTTGACATAGATGGCCAGCGACTCACGAAGAGCTACTGATTCCGATCAACAGCGGTGCGGCTTCTTCCTCCTTCTATGGATGCTCAAGTGGGCTGCAGCTCGCTGCTTGCAGGCAGCCTTTCGTTGTGTACTGGTGAACAATGTTCAACGCCACGCGCCGAAAGCACTGCTGCTGCTGATGCCGACTACCGGACACCACCACACACGGTTATTGGAACTGAATCCGATCAGCGGTTGAGGCCAGCCTTGATAGCTAGCTGCTTGCGGGGAGCCTTTCGTTGTTTACTGGAGAACACAATCACTCACCACGCGGTGATTGAATAAACACCGTTTGGTGAGACCGGATGGAATTCAACTTTGAAATCGCTTTTCGCAGACATACGGTGATTATATTCAGTAGTGACATTTTGAAAAATGTCTTAACATTAACAGATGCGTAGGAATATTTCTGATAGATTGGTGATAAAATTATTGAAATTGGTCTAGGAGTAGCTGATTTATTAACGTTCAAAATCTTTCATAATTTTGTTACATGTTCCATTTTTGGTTTTCACAAAGTGAACCCCCATATATAAATCACAGACTTAGTCCTACGTCAAAAAGGACAGAGGAATCGCATCAATCTGGCAGTGATGCCGGAATCAATGTTGACGTCAATATCGTTGTGAACTGTTTATATTTGCGAAAGGAAAGTTGAAAAATTTAGTGCACTGCGTGTTTTAAGCGATGGATATTGATGTTTATGGTTGTTATATTGTGTTGAGCAAAAATTATGTACAAGCTGCTAAACTGCGGTAGAAGCTCCGATTAATATCCAAATTAAAATAGAAATGAAAATATTTTACATTCCTGGCATCATTGTTCAACTCCGTCAAACACCTCGCAAAACTTTCCGAAAGGCATTCTTCATTAAGAAGAGTGAGCAGCTCGATTGTCTAGTCCCGTCCCGGGTATTCACTACCGATTTGTTTTTTGACGTAGGACTACGTCTTTCGGGAAGACGGGGGTACACTATATGAAAACCGACAGATGAAATTATGAAAGATTTTGAACGTTAATAACTTAGTTGTCCCTGGACCAATTTCAAAATTTTTATCATCAATCGATCAGAAACATTTCTACGCATCGATAAAAATTCCCTATATCGACAAAGCTGTATCATCGTTACTGTATGTAGCCAATGGGAAGCGAGAAAATATGGTACCGGCAGAGCTGGTTGTCTATATAACAAGTTGATAACTACGCTTTTGGCTTAGTTTCGATTCACCCGTTCAACGACAAACATCAAGCAACAATGACTGGTCGTGGCAAGGGAGACAAAGCTCTTGGAACAGAAGGCGCTAAGCGTCTGCGTGTTAACATCCAGGGTATTACCAAGCCTGCCATCCGTCGTCTGGCTCGACGTGGTGGTGTCAAGCGTATTTCCGGCTATATCTACGAAGAAACCTGAGGTGTACTGAAGGTGTTCCTAGAAAAATCCGTGATGCCGTCACGTACACTAAACACGCCAAGCGCAAAACCGTCACGGCCATGGATGTCGTCTACACTTTGAAGCGACAGGGACGCATGAAGCATGTAACAAAAAGTGTGTTAGTGAGTTCTTTGGCGTGAATGTTCCCGAAAATTTCAGTATTTTGTTATAAGCAAATGCAAAACAAACAAATTTATTGACAGATTTGGGCGAATTTTGACCTGTTGCATGCTACTGGAAGGTATGCTGGTCATAAATGCCGTGCCAAACTGATTTCCTGCGCAAGTGATATGTATAAACGCGAATAACCATGAGGTCCAGTGATTATAGCAAAGCTTGCCATAAAGAAACCATCACAGTTCAGGGCCACCACAACTTTCTACAAAAGAGTTGAGTTATGAAATTCACTTAATTTCAAAATAATATCCGAAACAAAGAACTAGAAAACCGAACAAAAATTTCGTAGTCCTACGTCAAAAATGCGGTCGTGTCTTGTACACCACCCTCCAACTTTTTTTTAAATCATAACTAACTGGGCGCAGAAAACATCGATCAACTTCCCTAAAAAAAATCCATAAACGAACGATAACCCAAATTATAGAACTATTCCACAAATAGTCTAGATCTGGGTACTGTGGAGTCAATCGATTTTATTTTCTTAAGTGTAAAATTGGTGTTGATATTTCACAGTTCACTCCCACCAAAAGCTCTGAGCCAGGAGTGCTCGAGCCTCCATGACTCTACTAAAGTTTGTTTAAATACCTGTTTCGCCAACGTATGTTTTATTGTGATTGAAAACCCAGCTGAGTCATAAAAACTGTGCTGGTTTATATGCTCTCATCGCGTAACTATTTGGTTTCTGCTGTTGAGCTTACAATTAAACATATGTTTCGAAAAAGAGTGGCTGATTTCTATGAGATAACAATATTTGACAATGCATAAGAAATGTAACTAGTTTTAAGACTTCTGAATGTTTGGCTCCCAGTTGACAATCAATTTGAGTGAGTCCGCAGAACTCAGGTCTGGATGATACCCCGAACACGACGTTAAGCAAAATAGCCACACCAATTTTATTAGGGCTTTGCTTCTCTTTTTACCAAGGTGGCTGTCAAATACGAACAATTGTCGCCTACCTCGCATAACTGATTCCAAACGTAAACAAGCCATAAGAAACCTACAGCGTTTGCTTACGTTTGGAACCAGTTTCATAAAAGAATGATCAGTAGGCTGATTTGACAGCAGCAAAATTCACAAGGGAATTTTTGACGCCCATCGAAAACCGTAATCAATATGGGTACAGGCAAGAGCGTAGCCAGGTTTTGAGCTAGGGAGGGGCGAAAAAAAATGTCTATGTAAATTTGGCCGAATGCCATTTTCACCGAACGCCATTTTACCGAAAGCCTTTGCGTTGCTGGGTTTAGAGGGCAGTTGGGGGGCAGTTGACCTCCCCTCTGTCCCCCTCTGGCTACGCCTATGGATACAGGTATGGCTCTATTATAGTTGACTAAACCATACCCATTATGATTTTCAGTGGTCATTGTATGTTTAGGATTTATGCGGGAAGTCATCAAAAACATATGTATGCAAAACCGTTCACTCGAAATGGAAGCTATTACTTGCCTAATGATCCACTGATTGGCTTCAGCAAAAAGTCCCAACAGCCTGTGCGTAAATTTAACCACTCGAGTGTCAAAACACGCCTAGCCTGCTAATCGTCATTCAATTCTCCGATACTTGCGATACCTTCATGCGGCTGATGGCCTATCGTCACTGGACTGCATAATCAACTTGAAAAACCCGTAGTAATGGAGAGCTCGCTTACACGTATGACAGCAAATGCACGTTCGTTCAGCTGAAAAGAGTACCCTCGGTTCTATACTACATTGTATTTATGATCTGCAAAGCTGATCGCAACAAATGCCCCCAACAAAAACCACATGCTTAACTAGTAGACTTGTGGTAAATATGGTAAATACATGGTTAATATTATGCAAATGTCATCCATGATCTGGATTAAGCTGATCCGAAAAACAAACTTTTACCCTGACATTCTGCTAAAATCGTACGATCGACCTGTCCTGAACCACTCTACAGCGGTTACCCGTTTAAACATGCCAGATAGTTGATCGCAACCGGTAGGTTTAAAATTACGCTCATTTAATTAATAGAAGTAATGAGGTTCAATTTAAATATGATAACTTAATTAAAACGCACTCCACCGCTTGTCGTCCGATACAAGTGACAAGTTTGCAACTTCAATAGATTTTTTAGTAATGACAACGACGTCGCCGTTGGTCAGAAGGTTAGCCCTGGTGAACCTGGAATTACTTCGAACTATGAAATATGCATTCCTTGTTGTGTGCATGACAATCCAACTGCAACATTGTAAGCCACCCTGTGGTCTTCCACTTCTGATGATTCATGCACGGCCATTGAATCTAACTCATATTAAAGTTGCGTTCACTCAAATTCGCAAAAACGTAGATTTTCGCAAATATGAGCAAATGTCACTCACATTTACTCATATTTGAGTAAACATTTACTCAGTCTATGGGTGACCTACGTTTTTGCAAACGGAACTCAAATATGAATCAGATTCAATGGTCGTGTGAACGCTGCAATGAATTTTCCATGTTGTTAATGTCGAATTTTACGACCGAAAATGATTTGTTATAAAAGAAACGGCTGGAAAGCGCATCCATGACAGTAGGCGTTCGGAGGGTGAAACTATGCGTTCTGCACTGGTAGCTACGATTGGGTTACTTTTCCTACAGGTCCTACCGACGGCGGATGCAACCATTGATTTGATGTTCGTTTTCAAGGTGTGTGGCAGTCATTTGCTGTAGTTCTTTTCTTCTAATTTGTTACGTTTACTCTTACAGGTAGCGTGGGACTTCTTTCTTCGATTGATGGGTGAATTCAGCATAGGGAACATCAACGAAGTGCCCGCGGTGGATCAAACCGGGAATGTTGAATCGATCAACAGTAAGGCAGTGGTGGACGGATCCACTCCAACGGGTCAAGATCAGCAGGGCTCAGAGCTGTCTGCCTTGCTCAATCTAATGCTCACTTTGAAGGATGAATAAATGTTTTGCTTTATGTTTTATTAAATATGAAAACAGACTGTTATGCTTTGCACGAAATTTCATTATTTCAATGAACACAGTATTCACTGCGAGGGGCGACACATCTAAATCTTAATTCAATCTTCGAAAAAGCTTCTTTCATTTCTCGCACCTACTTGCATCGCGCATCATCTTTTAGCAGGAAATCTTCAGAATCGTCATCAATCTTCTTTCTATCTACTCATCGTGCGCACAGCTAACCACAGCAAAATACAATGCTGCCTGCATCGTAGATAGAGTAGCCCCCCTCGATTCACTGGGATATTTTTTCATTCTTTGACGGCTACATAAAGGAAGAGGGACGGGGTCTAGGAAGGGGTAGTAATTTCCTTTATTCCACCACCTGGATGGTTTATCCTTGAAAATTTATTGGCTTGCTTATCCTTAAGTTTGTAATTCATAAGTTGTTTAGAAAACATCTAATTGATTTCTACAAGATAACAATACTAGACGATTCATAAGAATGAGTAAGTACATTTATGGCATCTGCATGTTTGGCGTCCGTTAACGCCTTCAATGCGAATTCCCATTATATTTACTATTAACAACCTGTAACCGACTGTTACAAATTGTTAGTATTTTTAAATTCGTGCTTTTATGTTGTGTACAGTCACGTCCATATAGAGTTAAGTGGCGTTGGATTAAAATTAGGGTTATTATTGTCTTTTAAAAAAAATGTTATAGGCTAGTAGAATTTGAATTTTGTACAAAATAAGTGGGGTGAATCGCATGCAAGCCAGTGGGTGATGATAGAGTAGACCAGCAGGCGAAGAGGGCCAAAATCTACAAAGGTGGTGACCCCCACATCCTCACAGGCAGCAACAAAGAAGTTTCAACGGGGTTGCAGGTAATAAGGAGGAGCGCCATTGATCATAAAGTTACAGGCGTTCGTGTGCACAAGAGCCAAATTATAAATTATATCCTACACAATTTTAAGTGAGTGGCATCCAGCTAAAAAGGGAGAGGACGACTGATTCGTCAGGTACGCTATTGACCTATCTTATGCTTAAAATCTAACTAAATCTAGCTCACTACTAATGCCTAGAAGAATAGTACGGCTTCACTAATACCTCTCATTACCCTCACAGGACCTTTTGTATAATACTGTTAATTCAGCTGAAAGTCGCCATTTTGTCTGGTCAGAAGCTCAACTAGGTGCACAGTGCAACCTTTCCCCACATCCAACATCCCAGTGATTTCTCGTGGAAGCGCAGAGGATTTCTCGGTTTCCTTCACAGCGAGTACCACGTCAACACATTCCTTCCCATTCCCTAGTTGACCTGCATTCGGACACGGCCGGCGCTGGTATTGCTAAATATTAGATCTCCAGTTCTTACACATTGAGGATGAATGTTAGTCCCAAACATCATCTGTTGGTTCTCTGTGTAATTGCAGCTGATCTGGTAATAACAGAGCAGCAACCGTGGGCGGTCAATCTGATCTGATCTGATCAGAAGCTCAACTAGGTGCACACGATCCGGCGTAGTAGACCTCGGTTTGTTACGTCTAACTGCAAAGGACCATCTCCAATCTCTGGGCCATCCGCTCGTTAAGGAGGTTTTCAAGCTCAGGGTTGAAACCCCTAACCGTTTAGGAGCATTCCCCTCTTGACACGGTCACTCCGGTATCGTCCTGAGCCGTGCCAATCTCCGTCAACGAGGTAGGACGCCTAAAAGACTAACACAGCCACAAACGATCGACAAACCCCTCCAAACAAACCTGTTAAATGACGATTCGTCATCGTTTCGGGAACTATGAGCCACTATTCATCATCAGCAGCAGCAGCGAGCGCTCACAGGGTGTCGCCAGATCGTCGGCATAAGCAGCAAGGAGCAGTGGTCAAAGTAATTCCTT